GGTTTACATATTACTGTGAGTGCTCTGAGCATCGGTAGTTTATTTATAACAGATCTAGCATTTATGAGGATCAGGTAAAGATGAGATTTGAAATAGCATTTGAAGTATTTAAGTTCGTTAATCAGCCCCGAATGTGGTTCAGCACCCAGTAGTACTGTTTGACATGACGACCCTATGTTAAGAGGAGTTTCAGCATCATGCTCACCTATGTCTATCGAGTTGGTGTGTGCTGTTTTCGGTGAAGAATTAAGCGTTGGAGTACTGGATTTGCTATGGGCTAAGGCATTTTATTTTAAGTTAAGCTAGAAACGGGGGTAGGGATCTTTATTTGACCTAAACTTGTGCGTGTATCAAGTGTGCTTAATGGATGCGGATGAACTAGACTGTTCCTATATTCATGCAAAGGGGGAGCCAGCACTAGCGGTTTAGGAGTGTTAGCATCCCTACCAGCTGTTTTTTCAACGCTGACAGGGACGCAGGGGATGAAAATGATTGGGACCTTGTGAAGACCATGGCTTATTATTCCACCTATTGTTAGGTACTAGTTGCGCCCTTTTAAGGGTTTCGTGTGTACTGCTTTGTGGGTTAGTTCCCAGCAGACTTGTACCATATATCCGATTAAAATTTATTTGTGTGCCATACTGTGAATGCCCTGAGTTGTTGGTGGTTGAGTTCTGACTATTGCCACTTGTACTCTTGAGGGTGGCATTGTTTTGGCGTTGGTTATCAGTGTGGGCCGTGGTGCTATTTCACACGTTGTTGGTGCCAAAACTATTGACCGTGGGGAATGTGGGCTTACTTATACTGCCATTGTTGTTGTTGGCATGATTTGGGGTCATATTCTTCTTTTTTTTACCGATGGACTTATGGCTAGGAGAGGGCAGGGTCGACTTTCAGGGGATTTTAATTTTTTTTCCGGGATTATTTAGTGACATGTCTAAATCTACGGTGATAGGCGGTAAAGTTTTATTGGCTATTTGATTAAAATTTAGTGGCCTTTAGGTTGGTGTCGCTCTCTGAGAAGATAATTCTGTGTGGTTTGAGAGGGGTGGTGCGGTGGATTCTACGATATCTCTCAAAGGGTTGGGTATAATTGCTGCTTGCAATGTCCTGTTGTTTATTCCACAATTAGACTCAGTGTGATAATTATATACGCGCCTTTCTATGACGGTCTTGTCCACTGCAACCTTTATTAGTTTGTAATTTCTGGCTTGCGATAGGGTGTGTTGGGAGTGGATAAATTTTCTGGCCTCAGCCGGTGTTTCGAACTGAAAACGAATAGGACAACACTTTTCATGTTGACTCTTCTTCAGCCTGTAGCACTTAGTCTTGGAGTTGGGCATTTTCGCCTCACTAAGTAAGATGCGCTGTACCTTTTTTAGTGCCTCATTGTCCGGAACGTTGTAGACAATAGCATTTAGTTTAACATCGAGTCGTTTTGTTACTTCTGTGATAACAAAGTTAATGAGGTTATCCACCTTAGATACTGATTCCGTGTCAAGTTTGTTAAGGTCTACAGTTCTCTTGAGGATAGTTAAAGGTGTCAGTTCACAGACCTGCGATCTGATATCACTGATCTGATCTGATAATTTGGATATTTTTGTATTGGTTTCAGAAATTCCAGGATTTACTGACTTGTTTTTTATTTCCCCTAACTCGGCCTTAAGTTCTCCTATAGACAACTTTAGAAGTTCTATTTCAGAAGATAGTTCTGAAATAGAGCTTGAAGGCTGGAGCTTTTCGATAAGCACATAAGGTGAAGGGAGGGTTTCTGTATGAGCAGAGTTTACTGAATTTTTGGGAGTAGTGCTAATACTAGCTGTCGGTGCAGTTTTATCCTCAGTTTCAGCTCGACGCTTACGACATACAAGTGGGTTATGTGGCTCACTATAACCATTTGTAGGGAGTGTGTTGCTTGATGTAGCAATCAGCGACTTAAAATTAGTCATCAGATTTACAGGGGATTGAGTTCGTTGCTTTTTATCTCGGTTAACCATAACTATATCATATTAGAGTTATTAGTTATAGGTATAGAGGTAGTAGAGAACTTGTGCAAGTATTACAACAAGATAAATTTTATGTAACGAATCACGCAAAAATGTAACGCAAACGTTGGACGTACCACGTGGTAGTTCGGCCGAAATCTACTGCAAGCTATCCGGAACACGGGACTGACTGAGAACGTTGGGGACGACACTAGGTGGGGCCCTAGTGGAAAGTCATCAACTACTCGTCGAAAAGCTCCAGATCATGACTCCTCTAGGAAGTAGTGACCATGCAGTCATAGGTTTCGATCTCGTTCTCCGTGAGCACCTGCAGTGGGACGCTACGCAACCATGTCTGTGTTACGACAAGGCTGACTATGTTGAAATGCGGAGGCTCTTGTCCGATGCAGACTGGCCCTTGGCATGGGATGAGCTGTCTGTGGATGAACACTGGGAAGCGGTAAAAAGATTATTCATACAGCAATCTCGGATACCGTCCCTTTAGACACAATACAGCCCAAAAGAAAATCATCATGGTTAAAGAGAGGCACGCAGCGTATTCTGCAAGCAAAGAGGAAGGCTTGGTTTACGTGGCGCGTATCTAAAAGCCAGATCGACCATGATGCATACCTGGAACTCAGGAACAGGTGCAATGCAACAGTCAGGAGGGACAGGAGGTCATTCCAGGATAACCTTGCTAAAAAACTCCCAGCAAACCCCAAAAGCTTGTGCAGATTCATGTCGGAAAGGAGACCAACCAACCAGGGGGCATGCGCCTTAGTAGGCCAAAACGGTCAATATCTCACTAGTCTGGAGATGGCTGAAACGTTTAGTTTAGCCTTCGCCAAACAGCAATGTGGGTATTACCGTTACGGACCAAAATGGTGGCATCACTATTTCACAGGAGGAAGACCAAATAGCCACCCCCAAATAAACCCTGCAATAGTATTGAGAAAGCTGCAGCGACTCATACCTGGGAAGTCCCCAGTTTGTGGTGACATCAGGCCATCTGTTCTGGAACAGTGCGCCGAAGCTCTCTGTAGGCCTCTATGCGACTTGTTCCAACACTCCATGGGATCGGGGAAACTGCCAAGGAAGTGGAAAAGAAGCATCCTTTCTCCGATCTTCAAGGGTGGGGATAGGCAAAATCCCACCAGTTATAGACCAGTAGCTCTACTCCCAGTGGTATCAAAAGTACTGGAAAGTATTATTGATGATCACATCAGGGAATATCTGGATGGGTCTAAAATACTCCATGAAGCCCAACACGGTTTCAGGAAAGGCGGATCCTGCGTCACTAACTTATTATCAGCTTGGGACGACTGGACATCATGCTGGGATATGAATGTTCCTGTCCATGTGATCTTTCCAGACTTTGAGAAGACATTTGACGGTGTTCACCATGACCTTTTCCTACACAAAATAAGCCAGGTAGGTTTAGGTAAACCACTCCTATCATGGTTGAAAGACTACCTAACTGAAAGGCAATTTTGCACCAAGGTCAATCGAGTCCGATCATCTTGGCACAGCTCGTCATCAGGAGTGTCGCAGGGTTCTATCCTGGGACCACTGATGTTCTTGATTTTTATCAATGATCTACCATGCCGTCTAAGCTGCCCGACTCTTCTATACGCTGACGACGTGAAGATATGGAGGGCGATAAAGTGTCCGGAGGACTCAGATAGACTGCAGGCAGATCTAAGGCTTCTGGAAGACTGGGCGGTGGCCAGTGGCATGACTTTCAACCTGAAAAAGTGCAATGTAGTGAAGTTACACACCTGTAGACTGTGGAAATTAAGTTATATTCTGTGCAACGAAAGCTTGTCCTGCTCAACGTCGGAGCGTGACTTAGGTCTAGTTCTAACGGAGAAAATGGACGCAAGCATAAATTACAAGGGGGGGGTGTGTGTCTGTAGCGAAGGCATATGCGGTCATACACTTTACACATTAGGCCTATTCACACTCAGTTACCGTCGTCTTAGCGGGGATTTAATTACTGCGTACAAAATAACAAATGATCAGAATCACCCAAACAAAGGTGTTCTGCCATTGAGTAGGTATAGGCTCCCTCGTGGAAATCCTAGAAGGATAGCTGATCAGAGGGCAAGGACACGGGTGCGCTCCCACTTCTGTTCACTGTGGGTTTGCCATCGCTGGAATCCCTTACCGGCAGATGTAGCTGTGACAACCTCTGTGGACGCCTTTAAGCGAAGGCTGGACAACCATGCAGCGACCCAAGGACTGAATCCAAATCGCCTATCCCCTTAAAATCGCATACACCATTCAAGGGTAGACAATTAAACTCGTCGTTTTAATTCTTAACATTCTCCCCCGCCTTACTCTCCTGACAGCTTTAACTACACCTATTATTATTATCATCATTGTTATCGGTACATATATATATACCGGTTAACTGACTGTTGTTACGTTTTCTTATTATTTTTCTGTCTGTTAGTCTGAATAACTTCATTAATTATACCTATTATTATTATCTCTTTTCTATTGACGACGATACCGAAGGACCAACTGGTGAAAGGATCAACTCCATTCACAGTAGTAACAGTCTTAACACACCTCATACTACAAATCACATATAATTAATCCCGGCACTACTCCTTTTCGAGTCAACCAAAGCTACGGCAGTCGAGTGGCGAGACGAGCTACGCAGACGTTTACCGAAGATCAAGAAACTCTACCTCACAATCAAGAGGCGAGCACAAAGAAATCAAATTCGCTTGTACTGGCTCGTAAAAACGATATTGGATATTGCCATATTAAGCTGGTCTAATTGACACGCCAAATATTCGCGTTACAGTCATGAGAATAAGTTCTTGTACCTTCCAGAAGTTATTTTGTGATAATCATAATGCATGCTTTTGAAATCGAATCAGGCAGTTTCTAGATATGTCTTCTCACACTTGTCGCACTTTCGCATCATCGTTGTTTAGCTAGGTCGCATATCACATCAAATATCTCCGGGCGGTTGGTTGGCTGGCTTTGGTTTGACTTTTTTCGATGGCGGGATCTCCAGTCTATTCAAGTACGCCAAAAGGCTCTGCCAAACGAGGTATCAAGGAGCTAAACTTAGAAACACCACACATCCCACTGGCTGAAGGTGGTATCAAGAGAAAGAAGACAGCGACAGTGCCAGAACAGTTGAAGTAAGTACTCACAGATATTTTCTTGTGTCATATCACTGCTGATAGAATTTGACACTTATTTTCCTACATATCGTTTAGTATCACTCATGCTTAACCACTGCCTACGTCAACGAACGATGTTAGGTGTTACAGGGCTGGATTGGGAAAGAGTTGGGCGTTGTAAGTCGTGTCTTTTAGACTGTGTGGCACGGAATCACCTGCAGAAGCATTCCGTCAAGCGAGTTTAACCCGTTGAGTGGATGCATTATTCAAACCCAACCGGCACTTCAAGTTAGCAGGCATCCGGTGGGATGTTAGACACAACCGACCACTTCATTCAGAAGTAGAAATACTTAGTACAAAATAACTGAGTCATGCAGACACTCACTTTCTTGATTGAATTCCTGAGAGTGAGGAAGAATTAAAATCCTCTGGAGAATGAAATTTCTGGCTATTGACAGTCTATGGTAATTGACAGAAAGGATAGGTGAGTTAGGGATATGTGAAAATGACCACTGATTGAAATGTCAAAGTTTCCATTCACAACAGTCAGTATTCTACATATCATGTATGCATTCGATGTTGAGGATTGATTGTCTTTTGTGTGTTGTTAGTTTCTGGTCTATATTTTCACAGGCGTTTTTAAATTCCTTGAAATCGAAATGGTACATAGTGCTTCAATGCAATGCTTTGAGATTTTGGCAAAGATGTTGGTCTTACGAAGTGGTAGTTACTAGCCTCATTCCTAAGCTTCCCTGTTTTTTGAACACACCACTGACCAGGCGACGGATAAAAGTGAGCATCTCTTTCAGGAGTTCAATTAGTTACTTCGTATAACTGGTTGGCAGTGGCTTTCTACTGTTTTCGTTTTCTATCCCACTATCTGTTGGTCAGGGTCGAGGGATTAGTTTTGAGTGGTTAGACATCTCAAGGGACAATTGCTTAAAGATGACTAGGCAATTTCTGTCTTGATGTAATGGAAGTGTAGTGTGGTATAAGTGGCTTGTGAGTTGTTCGTTCGGGGTGAAACCCTTTCTGGCTTACTGTGGACTAGATGAGGTAAAGAAGTCCGATGGCATCTAGCAGTTCTTTATTAGTCAAGTATGAAGTGTCGCTGACTTTCCAGGAGGTATCACAATACTTGTAGCTGCTGTTAATAGGTCAGTGCAGCCACAATGTGTGTATAGGCTTTGCACTTTAATGGAAACTTACTTTCGTATAAGCTGACGGTTGTTACGGTTCATCAGTGAACTGTAATATTAACTACACTGATTTACTCAAGCATCCTAGTGAATGTTGTGTTTTGATTACCCTTCCAGCCTATCGAATCGATCGTTGCCTGTTGATCTTGATTCGAATGTCAGTTCATCCCGTCGTTCTGTGCTGAAGAAACTGTGTCAGCCGAAGAAAACAGCAACAGGTACGTCTACGATTATGATAGTGATTGTTGTTGTTAGTGTTCACACTCAATTTTACTATTCATCTTTTGTTATGCGAGTAATAATAGGGAGTTTGTGTTTCGCTGTTTGTGACATGTTCTGAAGATATCTTTTGATATGTGATAAAATCATGTCATTTAGTTGGTTGGTTTATTGACAATGAAATCCACTTGAGTAGATGCACATTTTGTCCTGTTCAAGAGCCAACAACTGTAGATATCTGTCCCTTCCCTCCAATGGTTGGTGGTGTTGGTGATGATGCCAGTGAGACGAACCGAGCAGTGATCGTTTGAAAAGCGACATGTGAAGACTCATGTGGTGTTATTTGGTTGGTGGTTGACGAGTGACAAGTGACGAGTGCTAACTGTTTCGGAAGAGGTGATTGTGGTGAGATTGTGGATAAGACTTTGGTTGTTGAAACAATAAGTAATAAGTTGGAGTGTTAGAAGAGGTGTGGGGTTTAGGGGGGAGAGAGGGCAAACAATCACTCACTGAGGAGGCAGACACACCCAACTGACGACGAATAATTTCCAATAAGTTGAGATGCACATGTTTGAATTGACTGTTAGACATTGTGTTAGCCTTCAGACACCTATCGTCGAAGCTTCCGTCATAGGAGCCCGTATACCAACAGAAATCGAACATTTCGATGCAATGTGTGCTTCCTAGAGGTTTCCCAGTTGATGAAGATTACTCAGATTGCTGATAAATTCCCTGTGATTTTGTTAACGTGTTTTGTGGTGACAAAACTCTGGATAGAAAGTGTTCCGAATTATAATCTTTCGATGTAGTCTGTATAACATTTGTTTTCTGTTCTCACTACTGAAGCGCGTCAAGGCACAGATTTGATTTATGTTAACCATAAGGATACTCCACAAGCCAGTGAACGTCCTGTCCGTCGTAGACGAGGTGATGAAGGTGAGCCATCAGGACATGCACTACCACCAGCACCAGCACCAGGACCATCATCGAAAACACTTAATTCAGGCCGACAACTACAACAACAGTTGGTGCGAACGGAACAGAAACGGGTCAGTCATGGGGTGGATGCTGCACGAAAACATAATCCTGATAATAATAATAATAATAATGAGAATGAAACGGAACGACGGAAGAAGCGTGCTGCACCGGGTACAATAGCTTTGCGAGAGATAGCAGCATACCAGCGGAGTACAAACCTGCTTATAAGGTAAAATGACCCAAAGTTGTTTTCTTCTTTCTGTTGGTTGCTTATTTGTTCTTACCATTTTTTGTTTGTTAGAGAAATAGATTTTAGTTACTTTTGACTTTTGTATCACAGAGTTCACTTGGATACAGTTTGGTTAGTTCGATTTGTCAGTGAGGACTCAGTCACCAGAATAGTGGTGTAGATGTGACACCTGCTATCGGCGAAAGAACATGTGTAGTGCGCATATCAGTTTACCGTGTGCCTCGTTTGTGGCTGTGGGAGGTGGCCATTCGACGACGGAGACCTTAAGAGGCGAGTTGTGGTTGACTGTAGGTGTTTCCCTTCTATCTCCCCTTCTGTCTGTGTCATTCTATGGTGTGTCATACTCAGGTTAGACGCAAAGTATTAACTAAGAAGACGAAGTTAGTCAATCGATGAGGTCATGAAGCCTGACCGATTGAGATAGATGGGATGGGATGGCTGGGACACCTGTTACACATGCCAGTTAGTGATTGAGTTTGCTTCTCCAATAGATGAATTTCTGTGTAAGTGAGTTAGTAAAAACATCTGAGGAGTGTTTGTCGTGCTACTTCTTACTGGTCATGTAATTCACTAAGTAAGTACCAATGAAGTGAAGTGAGAACTCTTCACAAACTGTCAATTCTTTGAAGTTGTGCAAGACTTTCTGGAAGCACACACATTGCAAGTTGGTGGTGGTGGACAGAGGGTCGAACCATTAGAGCAAGTTAACTGATATATATTCACGACTGAAAGTTTCTGGATACAGCAGGTGTAAATGATAACTTGCTTGCCTGATCTAGATTTCTAGATCTTATGTTCCCCATTAAGTTGCATGCGGATTTGCATGCTAGAATGAGACTGTTAGTTATGACATGAACTTCTTGATTCGCATTGGTGATTGTTTTGACTAACTGTGACTTACTAACTAACTGGTTTCATTTCTTGAGGAGGAGGAGGTCTGTCTTGATGACATTGATGGAATGTATGAATCACCTGTAAACTATATGAAGGTGTATACATTTGTTTCACTCCTTGGATTCCGAGTGGAATGAAGTCCTCCTCCTGCAGACTGTGGAGTTTCATTAGTAGTGTTGTCTGTTGGCTTTAATTGAAGGAAGGTGGGGTTGTTCAGTAATTCCGTCCAACCTTCCGTCTTCTCTGGACCAAATATCAGCTAGTAAATTGGTCAAAGTTTCTCAGTGTGTCGTCGACCTACAGTCGGGCCTAGACGACGTGTGTAGTTGGCGAGAGTTCTACTATTGGACCACCATCCCGGTGACTGAATGATCAAGGAGCTTTCCTGATAACTTGATGGTCGTTGTGAGTTGTGTGTTTGTCTGGTTGTGTCAGGCGTGCATAACTCTGAGGAATGACAGACTAGGGGAAACACGACTGTCGACTAAATCCGTCTTATTATATGTATATTTGTGTATTTATGTATTACCACCTAATGAATCAATGAGTGAATGAATTGATTGTTTACTTTGTAGTTAACCTGTTTTTATGTTTGTTTCTTTGTTTGTTGACTGTTGGTTGGTGATAGGAAGCTGCCATTCGCCCGATATATCCGTTACATTACAGCGACTTCACTTGGCCCGAGATATTTAACGTTTCGCTGGCAAGCGGTATGCTTTATGGCGTTACAAGAAGCGGCTGAAGCATTCCTGGTGAGCTTATTTGAGTCAGCTCAACGATGTGCCATTCACGCTAAACGTGTTACCGTGATGGCTAAGGATATCAGGCTTGTGACAGACTTACAGAACATTCCAATTGGCCCAAGTATTCAACAATTGCAACAAGTGACAACGATGAGGACTAATCGACCAATGTTGACGGCAGCACCCTGTCCATCGAATAAGAAGCACCGGAATGATAATAACAATGATGATGCTGATAATGATAATAATGTCGGATGATGATTGTTTTCTAGTTGATTTTTGTAATTCCATCATCACTGTTGTTGTTGCTGGTTGTGGTGGTGGTGATTCTGTTTTATCTCCGATCCCCACGTTGTTTCACTTCTCTTCTTGCTCCAGTGTACATAATCCTCGCCCACATTCACTCCTTGTGATATGTGTGTAATGTCCAGTCAACTTGTATTGTTCTTCCATTTTACTGCTGTTCTTTTTGCCGCACATTTCTGTTTGTTACCTCTCTTTTTCTTACTTATTGTGTGTGCTACATGGACATGGGGTTGTGGAGACTGGAACTGCTGCACATCTGTGCAAAGTTCTAGGTTGAAAGTAGTCAGTCGATGCTCCTGACCTCCTTGCCTGTCCCTCTGTTCCACTTGATTTTCGCCTAATTCCCAACTGTGATATATTTTGTATACACAGTGTTTTCCTTGTTATGTATATTTGTTAGGTTATAGTTTTGTGAATGCTCCACTACTGTTATATCAAATTGGATTGGAATTTTGTGTTTTCGCGATGACCTTATTTGTACATAGTGACTTTAAATGCTGTATGGCTGAAAACAGTCTGAGTCTGTCTGTAGATAATTACTACTAGTGTTGTATCGTGGAGTGTTTTCTATTGTGAATGAAAACAACTGTGTCTCCAATATTCTTGTGATTTGTTTTACTTTTCTCTGCAAAGTGAGGAGGTGTGGGTGGGGTATCCTACCTGATGTGCATGTGTTGAGGATGAGGTTAGTTTTGAAACATTACTTTCGTCATGTAATTCGTTGGTGCTTTCTTTGAGCTATCTGAGGATATTGATTGATTTTATGGTGGATTTTGTGACCAACTGAGACACCAGTGAATCAGTTAGTCAGTCATAGGCGCATTGACAACCACCTAGGATCTGGATACATTTCCTGTTATAGTTTGAGACTCTGCTGTAGGAGTCCAATCGAAAACCGTCAATTGATGGTAGGTGGGGACTTGTTAACTATCGAGCCACCAGGTTGCAAATCGATTCGCTGTAAATTCCAACCTGTGTCGATTTGCGATATATGCGTTGGTACTAAATCAATGTTATGATCGGCGAGTATCTGTCCTCACAGACAATTTGTGCTGCATTACACTTGTGATGATTTCTCATGAGAATGGCATGAAATTCATCCTGTTAGTTGAGGAGTGTTGGATTGAGTAGGCTTAGTTGTCACTTGGCGATTTCTACCAGAGAAATGGTAAGTTCTCATAGTTTACCAGTCAGTCCTTAGCTTTGGGAGGACGGGATACTGTACATGGTAGTCGTCAGCTACCTTTCCATCGCCTGTCAAACTATAAGGCGTAGCGAATGTGAATTTGTCCATCAGTGGGAACAGTAAAATTATCTTCAGAATTAATTTTTAATATCCGGATATGGAATATAGTCACCATCCGCGAGACTGGTTTCTCAGATTGCAGTAGAAATGAGCATATAGAGTATGGAAGTGTGAGAGATGTGATGGAGTGGGATCCTATGAAGGTGTGAATACTCCAAATTGTTCAATACAGGGATAGTCGATAATCTGCTTTGGTTACCCACTAACGAAGTTTATAGACAGATTGATGCTTCAGAGTAGGAATGGCGAGTAGTTTGACACATATTCTTGCTTATGTTTTCATGGTAAATCTAGAAACAAACGAGAAATACACATCCACAATTGAAGAAACCAGTCTTCATGCAAAGTATGTGGATGACATGTTCGTGATTTGTAGAAACATGAACCATGCTTACAAATGGTTCCATAGCTTCAATATTGTGGATCGCAGAAATCAGTTTCACATCGTGGATTTATTTGTGAGGTGGTGGTACAGTTGATAGGGAAATATACTGCAAGGATACCTGGACCGGACAGTGTTCAAACTACTCCAACTTTTTCACTTAATAAACAACATGTCAGAAACTATCAAGTTTTCCAAGGGGGTTGAATCCGATGAGAATGAGTTGGCGTTCCTGGACTGTTTAGTAAAGAGAAAACTAGGTGTCAAATTTAAAATAAACATTTTCAGAAAGCCGACAAATTCGGATAGATACCTAGACTACTATTCAGCTCACCGATTTACCACCAAAGTAACTGTGGCCAAGAATCTGATTAACAGAGCCAAACGTCTAGTTACTGAGGAAGAAGATGTTAGCAAGGAACTAAATTGGTTCAGTCCACTCTTGAATGAAATAATAATTATCCTAAAGCCTTGATAAAAAGATACTTAAAATGTGAAGATAAGGATGAATGGAAACGTGCTGCTAAGAATCGGGTTAGTACAGCAGTGATCCCTTACCGGAAAGAAACATCCGATGAAATGAAGCGAATTCTTAACGATCATAACATAAGAGTGTATTTTCGTGCAACTAACATCTTACGCTCACCACTGGTGAAGGTTAAGGATGATAAAATAGAACAAGAAAACCAGCAGAATTGTGTATACCAGATGAATTGTGGGGATTGTGACTTTGGTGTATATGTAGGAGAAACTTCCAGACAGGTAAATATAAGAGTGAAATAGCATAAAGAATGTCTAAAGGTGTATGGTTCCAAAGACCTCTGCAGATTTGAAGAAGCTAGAAAACAACTCAGCGATTGCACTGCATTCGATTGAAATGTGACACAAAATCGACTTTGATAAGACTAAGGATTTAGAGAAATGTTTTGGTTCATGTGAAGAAAGACTGACTGCAGAAGCCCTGCATATATGGGTGAATCCCAACAGTTTGAACAGATATGAAGGTGTGATGTTAACTGATGTATGGCAAATGCTGACTAATAAATAAAATTGGATATGTATCAACAATTAGTCATTCTTGGTCAAATTCCCGATTGTCTACGTCTTCTTATGGAGAGACTAACAAATGTTTTATGACTGTTCACCCACACACACCCAATTGTATACTGAATATACACATATATATTTCAACGAAAGTGGACTAATTTTGAAAGGTTAAATTTTGATCATAGTTCATACAATTTTGTTTATCATACCTGTTTCATATGTTTGGACAAAGAATTAAAAAAAATTTTGTTCATTAGACATATTGATACCTGTTTCATGACTCATGATTGGACAAAGTTTCAAAAACAAGAGATGTTCATTTTATATATAAACCTGTGTTATGTTAATTTCGATTAATTTCCCTGATGAAGTTCGGACCAGATTTCCGAACACAGGAAACGTTGGAATTACTCATTTCAATCTCGCTGAGATTTTACAAATATAATTATATAAATGTCTACTTCTTACTCGGCGCTCAATTATTTTTCAACTATCCGGTGAAATCTTGATCACAGTTCATACTCCAGCTTCTGTTCAATAAGAGACAAGCAAGGATTAGTCTGGAGGCTGTTTGATAGACCGTGTAAACTGCTCCCTGAGAATAGGTTGCATGAAGAGATGGACTTCCTTGAAAAGTAATTGTCTGGAAACGGGTTTCCAAACAAATTGATGACTCGTTTGAGGAAGAATGGCGGTAAGTAGTGAAGAGGATGTTACTACAGTCGAGAAGAGGTCTATATTCATTCAGCTCGCCTTTAAAGGAGTTGATGTATTGCAGAGCATAAACAAGAGACAGAGAGTTGATCTTTCTACAACATCCTATTTCCAGCACCAGTCGTGCACTTTGTATTCGATATTGGAAGTGGTCAGAGATATCCGTCTGAAGTCACCTCCAAACTGTGATTAGTGATTCACACGTATGTGCCAGAGCATGAATGTGTTGGAGTGTGAAAGCAGGTGGGCATCCATTCGCCTCTCTGAACACATTTCAGAAAGTGTGAGACTCAATCATGCGAATCTAATTGAATCACAAGACAAAAGTGATATGCAAAATTCTTTCACTATTGGTATAACAAACGTAGAAAGTCAACTTCATTTCGCTTTCGCTAAATCTATCGCCATCGGTGAAGTGAAAGCAGCAAACGTGTATATGAGGTAAACAACGCAGCGATTAATCTTCGTTTACCCTGCAGACAATTCATTTCCACCTATGACCTAATTATATATTCTAATTAGAAATAATAGAGATTTGTAGCTGACGTGGGTGGGTGATTTACAATTAGTTGTGTTCTCTGAGTTGTCTGATTTAATTTGGAGCTTTCATTGTCCAAGTCGACAATGAATCTGCCATAAGTTGTGTGATATAATTGTATCTGATGACAACCTCCGTTGTCGTGATTGGTTATTGGTTGTCAATTTACACTGGTCATATTTTTATTGACTTGGAATTTGAACTATTCTGGTCATGTGATGTATTTTTCATGAGTTGGAAAACTTGACCCATACTGGGTGTATTCGTTGATCGCTGATTGATTTCCTAATACGCGGCTTCTAGAAATTCTCTAGTTATACTTTTGCTGATTCCTCCTCTGTTGGAAATTTCTATGTTGTTCCAATCAAACTGACTGGTGTCCGTAATTATGTATACATGTGTCGATATGATGAAGCGATAGATGTCGTGCATTTTCACAGTTGATTTATTCTTTTAGATTGTGCTGATTCGAAGGGGATGCCCACCTTGTTCGTTGTGAGGTTTATCGCAGTTCATGGGTGACAATGTAACTGAGTTCAGCTGAGTGGGATTTATACCTACAAACACACTTAGATAGGACAAGCTCTGTAGACTCAAAGATCCGGTGGACCCAATTAAACAAAATAACATATTTTACAAAATACCTTGCAATGACTGTGATTCAGGTCAAGTATATAGGTCAAAGTACTAGGTCGCGGGTAGTCAGGTTGTCGGAACATGAGAATTTAGCTAAGGTAAGAATGGTTGACCCCGAGAAGATAAGTAGTTTAGAAAAAAGCTCAGCACTTGCCCAGCATTTTCAACACATAACCACACAAGAGGGTGTTGGGAGAGGATTACAATTCTAAGAAGTAATGTAGGTAGGTGGAGAGAGAGAGAGAGGTTGATTACTGAATCCTTGTTCATCGAATCTACATCCAACAAG